CTCAAAACATAAAGCGTGCAATTTCCAAACAAGTAGGCAGAGGGTATGGAACAGGGAAGAGGGAAGACAAATGACATGACATGACATGACATGACATGACATGAACTACATCCACAAAAAAAACTAACAACCCAAAACAAAATTTTAGACCAAATGTACATAAGGAGATGGTAGCAATAAACCTAGGTCTATCAGTAACTACTAGATATGCACATGGAATGAACTTTCGAATTAAAAATACTGTAAGACTAGATTTTTAAAAATATAGATATCTGCTAAAACAAGGATACACACATCTTCTAAGTAGAAAGATGGAAAAAGATACACCTGGCAAATAGTTAAAGAAAATTCATGTGGCTACATTTGGTTAAATGCAAAATAACACGTTAAGAAAAAACACTACTAGAAGTAGGAAAAGTAATTACATAACAATAAAAAGTTAATTCACCAAGAAAATATTAATAAACTCATGTATTTAATGATGTAGCTTCAAAATACATAAAGCAAAAATTGACAAGAGAATTGACAAATCCATTACAGAGATATTTTTAACTTATTATTATCAGTAACTGATAGAAAAGCTGATCCCCAACTCCCCCCCAAAAAGTCACCAAGTATATAGAATTTCTGAACAGCAAAATTAATGTTTGATTTAATGTAGAGACATATAGAAATTCCAAAATTAATGAAAACACATTTTTAACACTTTTATTTTAAAAAATTACCTCATGCTAGGCTATAAAGTAGTCTCGAAAGTAGTTTCAAAAGTAGTTTCAAAGAACTGGTATCAGAAAAACCACATAATTTCATAACAATGCCAAGTACACATTTTTTTAAAAGATCAGAAACTTCTTTAAAAATTTAGGTAAAGGTACTATTTAGAGACTGGGCCAGTCACGCTAACAGATTCTTTCCTTTACCACACTCTCATCAGACTCTTCTGAGCTTTTTTAAAAACTGCCCCCTTGTTGCAGCAAGTACATACATACCTCCTTAATACTTGGACCTGAGGCTGCCTTTCCCTTCTCAAATTGTCATCCCTATTTCCTTAACTCAGGGGGACCCCTGCTTTCTGCCTGGATCCCTTCCTCACTGCATCCTGGAAGCTCCAGAAGTTCTGAGCTGGGACAGCCAGGATGGTTCCTGCCTCCAGACAGCGCCCTGCACTCCTGTCGTTATGCTTCATTGTAGTTCATTGGGCTTTTTACTCATTTGATGATGGAAGGAAGTATGGATCTTGTGACTTCATTTGCAGACAGAAGGGGAAGCTCAAGATTCTTTATTACCTTAAAATGACATATTACTAGCTTAGTTCTTAAAACATTAGATTATTATTTTCAATACCGTGATCTCCCATATTTTAACAAATTCACAGGTAAGACATTAATGGATTACCTAATGTTAAAATATCTTTTATTTTTTTTTTATTAGGTCACTCAACTGAATTATTAAGAATCTTTCTTTTTAACTTGTGTATAGTTGACAGATGTTACATTAGTCTCAGGTGTACAACATAGTGATTAATTTATACATTATGCTATGTTCACCACACGTGTAGCTACCATCTGTCACAATACCATGCTATTGCCTTATCATTGAGTATATTCCATATGCTGTACTTTAAAATTTTTAATGTTTATTTGAGAGAGAGAGAGACAGTGCATGAGCAGGGGAGGGGCAGAGAGAGACAGACAGAATCTAAAGCAGGCTCCAGGCTTTGAGCTGTCAGCACAGAGCCGGACATGGGGCTTGAACCCATGAACTTTGAGATCATGACCTGAGCTGAAGTTGGATGCTCAACTGACTGAGCCACCCACGTGCCCCCTATGCTGTACCTTTTGTTCTTGTGACTTATTCATTCCATAAATGGAAGCCTGTACCTCCCACTCTCCCTCACCCATTTTACCTGTGCCCCCCCCCCCATAGTTTGTCCTCTATATTTATAGGTATGATTCTGCTTTTTCTGTGCTTATTCATTTGTTTTTGGTTTTGTTTCTTTAGATTCCACATATAAATGAAATCATATGGTATTTGTATTTCTCAGTCTGACTTAAGGAACCCTTATACACTGTTGGTGGGAATGTTGGCATAGCCACTGTGGAAAACAATATGGATATTCCTCAAAAGTTAGAAATACTATATGGTCCAGTATTTCCACTACTGCATATTGACCCCAAGAACACAAAAACACTAATTTGAAAGATATATGCACCCCTATGGTTTTTTTTTTTTTTTTTAAGTTTATTCTGAGAGAGAGCGAGAGAAAGCACAAGTGGGGGTAGGGATAGAGAATCCCAAGCAGGCTCCGAGCTGTCAGCTTAGAGCGAGATGTGGGGCTCAGGACCACAAACCACGAGATCATGACCTAAGCTGAATGAGTTTGACTGAGCCACCCAGGTGCCCCTGCACCCCTATGTTTATTGCAGCATTATTTACAATAGCCAAGATATGGAAACCACCTAAGTGTCCACCATTGATAGATGAATAGATAAGAAAGATGTGGCATATATACACAATGGATTATACTCATTCATAAAGAGGATGATAATTGCTGCCATTTGTGACAACATGGATGGGTATTATGCTAATGAAATATTAAAAATTTTAAGGCAACAAAGGAAGACAAAAAAACTGAGGGACAAGAGCAGCCTTTTGATCACAACAATCTAACATCCATTTTCTTTTTTTCTATATTTCTCACCCCAGGCTTAGGACCTTTCCTCGCCCTAAGTTCCTGTCCTGGCCCACAGGGCAGCTCCATGGATAACAGGCCTGTGACTCTGTGTATCTGGAACTCTGACTTTGCCCACAGAATCCTGGTCAATAGCCTGGTAAATGAGGCTCCTTACAAGGACAGATATCACATTTCCTGAAGCAAAGGAAGAGCCCTTCCAGGCCAGGAATTCTTTAGTTAAAATCCTTTCGTTCTGTCAGTTTTCAGATTTTTTCATTCATTACTGAACCTGAATAATATCCAGACACACAGATACTTCCTGACAGGTTTTTGAGTACAGGGATCAGATGTTACTTCTACCAGTGATGCTCGTTCCTGACCTTTCCATTTAAAGATTTATCATCTCCCACCGGCAAACACAAAGGCGCCCTGAGTGAGAGAGATCAGTACTTCAAAGAGAGGGAGCCACATACGCAAATGTACAGGTGGGTGATAGCATGGCACATTTGTAGAACATCTATTAAATAATGAGAATGACAGAGGTTGAAGCTTGAGAAAAAGGCAGAGGCCAATTAAGACCAAAGGTCTTAATTGCTATTCTAAAGGAATTTGAATTTGATTCCGAAATTATAGAACCAATTAAAGATTATATGTAAGGGAAATTGCTCTGACGGTAATGTGTGGAGAATGAGTTTAGGAGGTCGAAGATAACTGAACAGACTGAAGCTTAGAAGTTAAGCACCTGACTCTTGATTTCGGCTCAGGTCATAATCTCACCGTTTGTGAGATCAAGCCCCATATCAAGCTCTGCACTGGCAGTGCAGAGCCTGCTTGGGATTCTCTCTCTCCCTCTCTCTCTGTCCCTGCCCTGCTCTCAAGCATGTGCTCTCTCAAAATAAATAATTTTTTTTTAAGGGAGTACTTATTTCACTCTCTGGAGAATTGCTATTCTTTCAAAACTGGGCTCAGGCATCACTGTCATATATGTCACTGTATATGGTCAAGGTCCCTTGGTTAGGCTCTGTCCCTTCTTTCTGAATCCTGTTTAAATCTCTATAAGATGTTCTGTAACACAGTATCATTGTAACCTCTATTTCTCTGTGAAAAATACCTCAATACGTTATGATAATTTGCATATTTATTCACTATTCCCTTCAACCCCATCCTCTCAATTCATGACTTCTTGAAGATAGGGACTGTTTCTCTTTCCTGTATAATTACCAGCGCCCAGGATAGTGCTTGGCTCAAACCTGGGATTAAGCAAACCATTTCTAAGGCTTAGAATTATTTCCTTTATTTGCCTTTGCAGTCTTTTTTTTTTTTTTAATTTGAAAAGATCAAGTAGGGAAAACATGCTTTTATTTCATGAGATTGATTCATTTTCAAGATGTTGCCACAGTGACATGTTCTTTAAATTACTTCTTAGGATTTCTTTTGCAGCCAACTAAAAAAAATATTAATAGCTTTAACTCTGAAGCTATTAACCTTGAAGTTAAAAAACTACATTTTTTCTACTTAAATTAACATGCTGTTCAGAACACAGCAAGTACAGTTAAATAATAAATACTTCAAGGCAACTAAAAAGTAATTCTGAGAACAAAATTAGAAATTGTTTTAGGGGCACCTGGCTGGCTCAGTCTCACAATTTGTGGATTTGAGCCCTGCGTTGGGCTCTGTGCTGACAGCTCAGAGCCTGGAGCCTGCTTCAGATTCTGTGTCTTCCTCTCTCTCTGCCCATCTCCTGCTCATGACCTGTATGTTTTCTCCAAAATAAATAAATGTTAAAAAAATTTTTTTTAAAGAAATTGTTTTAAAAATTTTGGGAGACTCTTAGATGTAGTTTGGAAATAACTAGAAGAATAAAGGAGTAAGAGAACAGGGTTTTTTTTTTTTCCTTTCTCTTTTTTAATGAAAACCATGCAGAACGTTTGACAACAGTTTTGCAAAAGGCAAATTCCAGAGACTGAGGTAGTTTGCAGTTTGTTTTTTATCTATTATTTGGTCTACATGTGCATATATTTTAAGATCAATTATCTTTTGCTACTGGCTCATACAGTTGATGTCTTTGAGAAACCCAGAATTCCTACCCCCAGATTTTTCTCATGTTTACCTATCACATATAGTGTATAATGCTCTATAAAGAGATAGAAAAATCCCCATCTTTTATCTTCCAAGGGGTTAAAATCAGTATTTGCAACTGTGATTTACTTGTCTTGGGATATTTTCAAAAGTGACAGAAAGGTACAAAAGTTTTCCATATACTCATTACATACTCAAAGCTTTTTATCCTTAGAATTTAATATCTGATGAAAACAAAATTAAAATAGTTTTCTCATGTTCATTACATTTATTAAATCAATCTCAAATATGTATCTTGTGATGAGCTTTGGTTTAAGGCTTGCACACATGCAAATCTACTTTCAAGGAATCTTCTTCAATGTGGATTTTATAATGATTAGTAAGGGATGACCTCTGGCTGAAAAGTTTGCCACATGTATTACATTCATAGGGTTTCTCTCCAGTATGAATTCTTTGATGGGCAATAAGTGATGAGCTCTGTCTGAAAGTTTTCCCACATGTGTTACACTCAAAGGGTTTTTCTCCTGTATGAATCCTCTGATGTTGAATAAGAGCTGAACTTTGGCCAAAAGATATCCCACATTCCAGACATCGATATGGTTTCTCTCCTGTGTGAATTCTCTGGTGGTTACTAAGGGATGAGTTACACCTGAATGTTTTCCCACATTCGTTGCATTTATAGGGTCTTTCTCCAGTGTGCATTCTCTGATGTTGAATGAGGGCTGAACTCTGCCTGAAGGCTTTCCCACACACTTTACATTTACACGGTTTCTCTCCAGTGTGAATTCTTTCATGGATGATCAGCGTCGAGTGGGAACTTAAGGCTTTACCACATTCATTACAATTGTACAGTTTCTCACCAGTATGAATAATTCGGTGTCTGTTCAGTCGGGAAATCGAAGTAAAACCTTTTCCACATTCATTACATCGATAGGGCTTTTCTCCAGTGTGAATTCTTTCATGCTGAATAAGAGATGCGCTCTGACTGAAGGCTCTCCCGCATTCACTACACTTAAAAGGTTTCTCTCCTGTGTGAATCCTCTGATGATAACGAAGGGATGAACTAGACTTGAAGGTGTTGCCACATTCATTGCATAAATAGGACTTCTTTCTGAGGTGAATTCTCTGACATCCAGGAAGGCCGGATGCCTTCCTACCTGGATTGTATTTATGGGGATTTTCTCGAGCGTGGATTTTTTGATGTATAAAAAGGCCAGATCTCCTGCTGAAGGATTTACCACATTCTTTACATCTATAGGATTTCTCCACAGTATGGATTCTAAGGTGTTTACAAAGGGACGCACTATGGCTGAAAGCTTTCCCACATTCTTTACAGATAAAGGGTTTCTCTCCAGTATGAGTTCTTTGATGTTGAATGAGAGCTGAACTTTGGCTAAAGGCTTTCAAACATTCTTTACATTTAAATAATTTCTCTCCAGTGTGGTTTTTCTGATGTTTATGAAGGGATGAATTGTGAATGAAGGCTTTTTCACATATATTACATTTATAGCGTTTCTCTGCTATCTTGATTTTTGGTTGGTTAAGTAAATTTGAATTCTGCTTGAAGCTATTTCTTTGTATTTCATATTTTGAGGGTGTTTTTTCTCTAGCGACCCTCTGTTGCTTCACAAAGACTGATCTCAAGCTGAAATTTTGGCCAAAGTCAGTATTTTTATGGCTTCTTTCTACAGTGAGGAGTTTTGTATGGGTGATTGAAATTATTTGTAAACTTTCATTTTTGTCCTTTTGTTTCTTTAATCTGTCTTCATATACACAGGATTTTTCTGATATGAAATTCCAGGGTTCATCCCTTTTGAGTCTTTTCCTTATTAGCTCCTGAAATAATGAATCTTGAGTTTGAGTTGACTTTGTAGTTTTAGGACTGCTCTTATATCCTGGAAAAAAAAAATGCTTATGATTCACATGACTGGCTGAAACTTAATGTGTACAAAGAATAAATGTTAATGATACCTAAATAAGGGCTTGCTTTCTGGCTTCCTAGCAAGAGAAAAAAATAAATAATAATGGATGATGGCAAAGGACAAGGGTGACTAAAAAATCAAAGAAGCTCATTTAAGGAAGCTGAGAGGTGGGGCGCCTGGGTGGCTCAGTTGCTTAAGCATCCAAATTCGGCTCAGGTCATGATCTCATGGTTCGTGGGTTCAAGCCCCGTGTCGGGCTCTGTGCTGACAGCTCAGAGCCTGGAGCCTGCTTCAGATTCTGTGTCTCCCTCTCTCTCTGCCCCTCCCATGCTCACGCTCTGTCTCTCTCTCTCTCTCTCTCTCAAAAATAAATGAACATTATAAAAAAAAAAAAAAAAAGTAAGGTGAGAGTGTACAAGTGACCAGGAGAATGAATGGAGAGGCAGGATTGGAGGATTAGGACATGCGGTCTGGCATCCAAAGCCTATGACAGACTTATACATTATTTTCATGACATTGTTCTCATTAATACAATTATTTCTACTGCTGAATGTCATCCCTCCAAACTTTTCTGTAGCCTTCAGACTCAGTTCCAGCATTAACTCCTCTGTGTACCCTGTGTACCCTGTGTGCCGCGGGCACTGGGTTCACTGGAGGCTCCAGTGCCACGGGCACTGGGTTCACTGGAGGCTCCAGTACCCTTTCACAATCCATTCCCTTTATTATACCACTTACTGCGGTATATATTTTAATTTATATACCTAAGGGAGAAAATTATGAGCATATTCAGAGACAATGAGAAAGCCTTCAAAAAAATTCAGTAGTAAAAACATTGAAGAACATAAGAATTTAGGGATACTTTCTCAACATGCTAAAATACATATATTTTACTCCTAAAACCAGTATCTTTTTAAAAAAATATTTAATGTTTATTTATTTTTGAGACAGAGACATACAGAGTGCAAGTGGGAGAGGGACAGAGAGAGAGGGAGACACAGAATATGAAGCAGACTCCAGGCTCTGAGCTCTCAGCACAGAGCCTGAAGCAGGGCTCAAACTCACAAATAGTGAGATCATGACCTGAGCCGAAGTCAGACGCTTAACTGACTGAGCCACCCAGGCGCCCCTACCAGTATCTTATTTAATGAAGAAACACATTTCCACTGTGATCAAGAACAAGACAAGGATGCCCATTATTTTCACTTTATTGTAATCACTTAATTGTATTGTATTGTATTGTATTGTATTGTATTGTATTGTATTGTATTGTGTTGTATTGTATTAATACAGTTACATAAGAAAAATCAGATGCACAAGGATGAGTAACGAGGAAATAAACTAACCCTATTTGCTGGTGATATTATACTCTATCTACTTAACTCCAGGAAACCAACAATAAAAACTTGGTCAGTGACGTAGCAGGATAGAAAATTAACATGCTACAGACAATAACCTTCACTGACCCTAACAAAGGATTAGAGGAATGAATTTACAGGAAATGTAAAAAAACTTCTATGAAGAAAATTTGAAAACAGTCTTGAATGACATTAAAGTACCTCTGAACGAATGGAATGACCTCTTCTATTCTTGGATGGACCAACTTATTGTTATAAAAATATAAAGATATTTTAAAGAAAATACATAAAAATATTTTAAATCCTGTGTAGAGATCAGGATTTCTCAACCTCAGCTGACATTTGGGGATAGATAATTCTTTGTTGTGGGGCTGCCCTGTGCTTTAGCACCTACCCTTTCTACCACTCCTACCTTCCCATGTTTACACTTTCCATAATAAAACTAAAAATTAACTCTTCTTCCACTTTCTGTTATTTATTGCAATAGGAGTGAATAGATTAATCTTTTTCCTCTTAAAGATCATATCTAATAAGAGACCTGCAACTTTATTTACTGTCAGCATGGAGCCCAATGTGGGGCTCAAACTCAGGAACCATAAATGAGCTCATGACCTGGGCCAAAACCAAGAGTCAGATACTTACCCGACTGAGCCACCCAGGCACCCTGAGACCTACAATTTTAAAAGTCAGTGTTCCACACCTGAATTTAAAAATATCAATATACAAAAGACAAGATCTTAAAAAAATACTTTTACTTAAAAAACATACTTCCTAAGTAGAAAATTAGAATACTTATAGAATTATAAAACTTATCTTTAAATAGTAAATACTGAGGTGCCTGGGTAGCTCAGTTGGTTAAACATCCAACTCTTGGTTTCGACTCAGGTCATGATGTCATGGTTCGTGAGATTGAGCCCTGTGTTGGGCTATCCACTGACAGCACGGAGCTTGCATGGGATTCTCTCTCCTTCTCTCTCTGCCCCCCCCCCCCCACTTTTTTCTCTCTCTCTCAAAATAAATAAATAAACTTAAAAAAATAAATAGTAAATACCAAAGCTTTCTGGATAACTGAAGACAATGATAGCTCAGTGCAAGCAAATTAACAAAATTGCTTCCCCAAATGATAAGAAATAACTTCATAACTATGAGATTTCTATCCAAGTCTTCATCTTCAACATTACTTGAGAAAGAAGAAAGAAAATACTAAAACTTGTAAAATGTGAGTTAAAAAAGGGAAAAGTGCAGGTGCTTGGCTGGCTCAGTTGGTGGCACATGTGACTCTTGATCTTGGGGTTGTGGGTTTGAGCCCCAGGTTGGGTGTAGAGGTTACTTAAAAATAAAATCTTTAAAAAAAAAGAGGGAAAAGTGGACATCAAGGAAGATTACAGAGTAGGAAGCTCTAGGATTCTGCCTCCCTACCTAAACAACGAATGAACTGGCAGAAGCTGACTGATGGAAGGATTCTGAAACTGTGGAATCTATTTGAAGGCTGGCAGCTTCTAAGGGAAGGCTTGATCAGGAACTTGCAGTTTAATTTCAGTCAGTAGCAGCTACCCATGCCCCAGCCTCCAGCCCCATGGCAGGCAGCTGTACTGGCATTCTTTAGATGGCTTGCAGGAGCCAGGATGACAAGAACCTTGTTCTCCAATTATTGTAGATCTGGGTTCTGTCTGAGGATTATTGCTTGGGATCATGGAGGTATAGACAGAAAGGCAAGCTGCCATTGTTGCCCCACTAGCTGAAGCAGCTGCCAGGGAATTTCAGGGCCCATGTCTGTCTTCCCCCTACCCTCTCCCACTTGCATGTTACCTTTTTCCTACTTTGGGGAACCACATATTTAAGTATAAGGAAATTCAAAAGTAACTGCATACACGGGGAATTTAGAAAGTCATCATACATGCCAAGGGAAAGACAAAGGCTCAGAAAAGACATGAGAAAACCTTTAGTTTATATCTCAGGCTGGTCCATGGCACAGAGACACCTGACAAAAACAACAAAAAATCAGTTGTATATATGAAGATACACACACACACACACATACACACACACACACAGCTACCATTTTTCCCTGTTATAAAGTGATTTTCTTGAATTTATGTGGACATACTGTAGGTCAAATATTATTTTCCAAGATAACAATTATGGACTTTAAAGCTCAACATAAAATTAGTAGCTTCAAAAGTGTTGGTTGTATTCCCCAGCAATAGCACAATAGAATATTTCAATTTTGTACAAATACAGAACTCTAGGACTAGCTACAAACTTGGAAATCATTTAGCATAATATTTTCATTTCCTAAGAAAACTAGACTCAAAGATTAAGCGATTTACACAAGCTCAAATACCTAATAGTAATAAAGCTGGAAATAAAACCAATTTTTCCTAAAACTAAAATTCGGTGATATTTAAGCTGATTCTCTATCAGCTAAAAATCTAGGCTGTTCTCTAATGTTCCATGCTACTGTGACATAAAAGTATTCAGACACTACAGTAAATCATAGGGGATTCAGGCCTGGAAGAGGCTTTATCAAATAGCTAAGCTAGTCCTATCCTTGTGAAAAGGAGGAAATGTATGAGAAGGAAATCACTCTGGGAAGGGGGAGAATCTAATTCCTAGAGTTACAACATTATAAAATTCAAATGTCCGATTTTCAACACAAACAAAACTCACAAGGCATTAAAAAAATAAGATATGACTCACTCAAAGGAACAAAATAGACAAAAAACATCTATGAGGAAGAGATGATGATGGGCATATTACACAAAAACTTTTAAACTTTAAATAGTTTTCAAGAGCTAAGGAAAGATATGGGTAAAGTCATGAAGATGATTTAAAAAATGAAAATATCAATAAAAAGATAGAAAACACAGAAACCAAAAAGAAATACTAGCGTCAAAGAGTACAATAACTGAAAATTTCACTAGAGAGATTCAAAATCAGATTAGAGCAGGCAGAATCCACAAGCTTGAAGATAGGTCATTAAAATTACTGAGTCTGAGGAAGAATAACAACAACAAGTATTGAAGAAAGTGAACAGAGCCTAAGAGACCTGTGGGACACCCTCAGGTGGACCAAAATAGCCTTGTGGAAGTCCTGGAAAGAGAAGGAAAGGGGCAGACAGATCATTTGAAGACAATGGCTGAAAATTTTCCAAATTTGATGTGAGATATGAATCTACAAATCTGTGAAGCTTAATGAACTCCAAAAAGGATAAACTCAAAGAGACCAACGCTGAGACACATTATCACCAAACTGTCAAAAACCCAAAGCCAAAAAGAGAATATTGAAAGCAGCAAAAGCGAAGCAAGACACATAACATACAAGGGATCTTTGATAAGATTATCAAATTTCTCATCAGACACTTTTTTTTTTTAACGTTTATTTATTTTTTTTGGGACAGAGAGAGACAGAGCATGAACGGGGGAGGGGCAGAGAGAGAGGGAGACACAGAATCAGAAACAGGGTCCAGGCTCCGAGCCATCAGCCCAGAGCCCGACGCGGGGCTCGAACTCACGGACCGCGAGATCGTGACCTGGCTGAAGTCGGACGCTTAACCGACTGCGCCACCCAGGCGCCCCTCATCAGACACTTTAAAGGCCAGAAAGTAGTGAGTTGATC